AATTATCAGACAGGTCAGGTGAGGACACTCCTATAAAACTTGCCAGCTGCTGGCCAGTCAGACTGGGGAGGGAGGGTTATAGATTATGGCCATTTCTGCTCCTTAGAAAATGTCCTATTTCTGGCATTCTTCTAAAAGCATTTGGGGGAGGAGGAAGAGAAAAAGGAGAGGACCCAGAGTAGGAGCGTAAGGGAGGAAAATGGTAGAATGGATCTGATCAAAATAACTTCTATGCATATGTGGAAATAAAAAATAACAAGCAAAAGTATTTGTAATCACCCAGGCTTTTTTGGCCTTCTCTAGCAGCCACACTCCCTTGTACACAGAATTTCAGATGCCTGCCCTTGCAAATGAAAATATATTTGTTGGTTTCTTAAAATATGAGGATTGTGAGCCTTTCTGTGGTGGCCATGTTTGCTGAAAGCACCAAAATATTGACTTAGCTCTTAATATGTTGAACTTAAATTTGGAACAATTACTACTAGATTATATTTAGATTGTCCATTTTCAAACATTTTCATCCAGCCCAACAGATCCCAAAATTCTTTGTTTCCCAGAAATCTGGTTTTCTACTGTGGATGTCTAAGCTACCTTTAAAACACCCGAACTCCGAACTGTCATATTAGCTGGAGAAGAGATAAAGGGAAAGAAAAGTATCCAGTCATCCAACAACATTTCTGCTTCTTTGTACAAGCTGTGGATGAAATACAGTCACTCAATAAAGTCCTTCTGTTTCTCTTTCCCTCCCTCCCTTTCTCTCTCCTGATTCGCCTGGAGTGGGGAACCCTAAACCCTTTGGAGCCCCGCCAGCAACACCAAAAGAATCTCTTGACTATTTTCCCAGGGAATTCCTGCCTTAAATGTCAGCAGAGTACAACTCTCCAGCCAAAGCAGTGTCCACCTGGATCAGAATCAAGGCAACTGTGCCTGTTGTACCAAATGGGAAAAGCTAGATCCATCCTTGGGACAAGGGGACAAGGAGAGAAATTGGTTTTTGAAAAGTTCAACGTCCATGAGAAAGGTTTTCTCAAGTTCAACTCAGCAAGAGACAGGAGGCTAAATCCAACATTCCTTGCTGTTGTCTCGTTGCTGTTCCTATTGTACTGCTTTGGTGGTGAACGTATCTGAATTATAACCATAAGGTAATGCCTCTTTGAAAAGGGAGCAAAGCCTCATTAAGCCCTTTGTTGTGGTGGTTTGGGCTGCTGCTGCTGCTGCTCTGTTTGTTTGCTTGTTTTTAAATGAACATACTGATATATAAGTGCTCTGGGGGGAATTCATGATGCTAAGACTCATGAAAGGCAAAATAAGATTTATGAGTTGGAGTGACTCTGCCCCACCAGCCCGGAGACACTTCCCGTCTAGTACTGAGGCTTTACTGGCATTTTTAGAGCCTTTGTTTCTGTCTTCAATTTCTGAACACATGAAGAAATATTAAAAGCTCTGAGGGCAGGGGTGGGAGGTGTCCGAAAATCTCAAAGATATACATCAGCACCAAAAGACAACAGGATGATGGAGTAGATTAAAAATTCAGAAGCAAAATGTGTCGATCAGCTCGTTTTTGCCAAGGACTCTTGTCATTTTCAGTTAACCTGCTCTCAGCTTCCTTGTGTGTTAAAGTCCAGTAGCCCTCACAAGGCTCATTCACTAAACATTCACAAGGTTGTCTGTCATGAATAACTGCAACTCAACATGTCACTGTCCTAGCCCCCAAGAGCATAGCACAATGTAATAAGAAAATTGAGATTTAATTAATAAATTTCTTTCCACTTTAACATGCATCAGGCCCTCTGTTGCGGTTTGGATATGTTAAGTCCCCCTGAAGTACCCCCGTGTTGAAGGTTTGGCTGCTGATAGGTTTAGGGGGACTTACTGGGTCGTGAGATTGCTGACTTCACAGTGGATTCATCCAGTGATGAGATCACAATTTTCCTGGTGCTACTGGGAGTTGATGGGAACAAGAGATGGGACTTAGTTGAAGGACTGGATCATGGGAACACAGCTCTGGGGGCCCTATCAGATGCCTGTTCTCTTCGTCTCTCTTCTTCAAGGCTGCCATAAGATGAGCAGCTTTCCTCTGCCATAATCTTTCTGTCCAACCTCAAGCCCACAGAAGTGTAACCAGCCAACAAAGACAGAAACTTCTGAAGCCATGAGCTTTTTCCTCCATGGAGTTGTTTTTCACTGGTATTTTGTCCCAGCAACAGGAAGCTAAGGCACCCTCTTAAACTCATCAGAGGGGAAAAGTACATTGAACCTTACTCTCATTTGGGTCTGAGCCTGGTTACAGAAAGTTCAGCTCCTAAGCCATTACTAATATTCCCCAGGGCTCCCCCCACCTGTGCTGCCCCCACCACCAGCCACCACAAGCATGTTGCAGCCACTGTTTCATCATCACACTCTGTATACATCACCACAGCCAACCCTCTGGGCAATTTCTGTCCCTAGAGAGGAGAAAAGCCAGCCAGGCGAGTCACTGGCTATTGTATGGGGCTGGTGGTATTGTGGGAAGATCAGCAACACCGTCTCAAGTATAAAAGGATAATCAGCAATACTTACTAAGAAAAACTATCTCCCGGTAGATAAAGAGTTAATCCCGCCCCCTCGATGTAAAACCCTTCTGCTGAGAGTACTAATAAGTGTGTGAGTTGGTGCGATGAGGGTGGCCCTGCCCTTGACGGGAACAATGATTGCTTAGAAATAAGACTGTCAACACATCAGCTGGGGAGAGAGAGAGAAACACGGAGGCAGAGAAAGGGGCTGAGAAACTGTGGTAGCTAAGTTGTGCTGGCACTTTGTGAGGTGGCAACTGGAGCTGCCATGCAGAGAATGCTAATGAATCCAGGGCGACACCAAAGAGAGGACCTGACAATATCCCCCACCAGCCAGCAGCCCGAGGAGGAGCCTGGTCTCTGTGGGTTCCTGCTGACTTGGCTCTAAAGAAGTCCCGGAACACTAGAGTACAGTTGCTTGGCTTTGCACAGCTCCCAAGCACTTCAGACCCCGTTCTCTTAGGGTCAAAGCAATTGTGTGGACTGCATCTCCCTAGCACAACAAAGTTTTCAAAATTACAAAAATGATGTTGCATAAAGAAGAAAACTTGATCTTAAATCCAAATAGTCAACAGCTTTAAGAATCGGTATGACACGTTTTAAGTGTTCTCTGTGGGTTCACGCGGGTCTCCCCTTCTCCCCATCAGCCTTCATTGTGACCATCGGAGGACATGTTTTAAAAGAGCTGAACCGCTGATGTGTAAAGTCAGTGTGCAGCTGTATTCCTAAGAATGTAAATCTGGTCGGTACCTGACAGCGCTCAAAGCAGTAATCAAGCGCCTCTCTGAGGCTCACACTCCCAGTTCTAATTCCTTGTCCTAAAGAGATCTTGATACCTTCTCTGAAGTACATAGATGAGGCCACGGAACATTTAAAAGGATAGTCAGCCTTCTCTTCTCTGCTGTATTTCTTTCTTACCATAGTTTATTTGGGGGGAAAAAAATGTAAAGTCCCATCTGAAATGAGGTGGAACGTGGACAGATAGGTGGGATGGGTTTTTATCACAGCTATCATTGTTTACCTGAGTGGTTGGTTCACGGATACTCATTATATCGATTGAAAGCCATTAATTAACTAAGATAGCCATACATACACCATAGTGACAGACGATCATAAAGCAGGTATTATGATCAATCCAATTCTGTACACTAAAGGATTCTTTAAAGGAAAAACAGTAATAGTGAAATGCTGATCCAGAGAACTAATTCTTAGGACCCCAGCCCCAAAGTTTGCTCTACTCCTTAGGCAGGATTATCTTCATGAGTGCTCAACCCATGCCACTGCACAGGGACCAAATTTAGGAGGGCCCCGACTATTGGCTGATGCCGTAAAATCATCTGTGATGTTTGAGCAGAGTCCTGCACTCGCTTTTCACTGAGACCAGCAAAATTATATAGTGGTCTTGTCCCTGGATTTCCAGATATTAAATTTACCTATGGATCCCAATAATTTTGTCCTCTTCTAATCTCTATGTTTTAAAAAATTGCTGCATCTTACCTAAAAAATTATTAACAATATGGCATTCAGATGAGCACCCTGGAGCAGTTTCATTTCCTTTATTTCCTGGTTTTCCTTACTTTTTATTGTGCAGATTAGTACTGCCTGTCCTACAAGTGGAGCTGCAGTTATATATCATGCTTATGTTGCTTCTTCTGTAACCAAAAACTTCAAATAGCACTCATTGGCTATTTACCACTCAAAATGAGTGTGCTGATGTCTAGTTCACAATTCATCTCACTTGCAAATCTGTTTTCTGACAGTTGTCCAATTCCAGCTACAACATAAAGAAAAAAAAGACAATTTCTCAGCAATTCTTGGTGGAGGAAGAATTCAAATAAAAATTGGGAGAAATCCTCTGCCACAAAGATGATCAGCTAAAGAAAGATGATGTAAATTAATCCCTGCATTCCTGAAATGCCCTGTGTCTATAGTGGTCAGGTACAGAGAAATTATTTCAAGTTCAAATATAACTTAGCCATTGCCACATGGGGCAGAATCTTTCCACCCCTGCACTCCAAAAACCCAATCAGAAGAGGGATCGTAATCTGACTCCCAGCACACTGGGAGCCCGGGGGCAGGCAAAGAGCACTGCACTCTGGCCAGGGAAGGCATGAGTGATAGACCCGCAGCGAGGAGGTGGGGGTAAGTCCTTCTTTCCTTAAGGGAACAATGCACAGGGCCAAAGGATGAGATTCTTTTATTACAGATCTCTGTGCCTTCTCGGACTGAATGGGGAAGGCAGCTACAGGACAGGTGGGCGGTTCTTTTTACTTCAGATACCGAGCACATTCAGGAGAGAGGCATAAAGAAGTAGGGGGAAAGGTTTGCTTTTTAGCAAAATCCTCCAGTTGAAGATCTGTGGAAGTGTAGGGAAATGGCTGTATGGAGTTAATGTCTACCTGTACTAGTTTCCATCCATAAAATTACTCACCCAGAGTCTCAGCTGTCGGGGAGAAGGCAAGGCTGGGTGTTTGGCTAGCAAGTAATGTGTCCAGTTCACGACAGCCCGGCCACATCAACAAATCCCCTTTGTTACGGGGCAAAAGCAGCAGAACAAATTGTGTCAATAATTTCCAGTGAGGGCGAGTGAACACATGAGGGGACACTGATGACAGTAACAGGGGCCTGGAGCGACGCTGAGCTGAGCCCTCCCAAGGCCAAAGGTACGTCCATGTCAGCAATCTTGGGGTTCACAACTGAGGCTGCTTGCTCTGCCCTATAAGACCAAATTGGGTGGATTTTTTTTTTAAAGGCCAAAACCACTCCTGAGAAGTTTATCTGTGTTTTGTTTGTTGTGCTGTTCTGCCGTTGATTTCTCTGCCTGATGCAAATGTGAAGCGGAAAGAGCAAGTGCTTTTTTAAAAAAATTAGTTGTCTGGGGAGATAGACAGGTGTGAGGATGGGCACCGAGAGCTCCAGGGACTCCAGAGGTGGAGGAGGACAGAGGGGTGTCCGGGGAGGCTGGCCTTTTTCGGGACCGCCTCCCCAGGGCCGCTGAAAAGCGAGGGTTTCCTGCCCAGCCAGCCTCCTTCAGTTCCTGCTTTGTCTTCTTCCTTCTCCCCTAACTGGGGGCCACAGCCAACAGCACCTGTCACAGCGCCTTGCCCCTTTGCCACTCGGCTACAGCCCTGGGCTGCTGGTGAGTTCACAGGTGACTCTCGTAACTGCTTTGTCAGTTTGTGGGTGCTCTGAGTTTCTTCCCCCAGGACATTTGTCATAGCTGTCCAAGGGTGCCCTCGGTGCCCCATTTTGAGGGCTGTTTTTGTCTCTTGATTGCCTGCCTCTTCCTCCAGTAAGTGTGACAGCCCAGCTGGGGTTCTTCATAATTACATGATGCACTTAGAGCTCCCATGGGCATGGGAGGATGGTTGGGGTGCAGTTGGCTGCCCCTCCTGGAGCCAGTCCTTCCTTTATCCAGCCCAGCTTGGGCAGGAGGAAAAAAAAATCTCTTAAATTCCTTAAAGTACTCAGCTTTTTTTGCCTAAACCTTTACGTAGGCCTCCAGTCAGGTTCCCTGCTAAGTCCTCCCTATACTCCTTTGCTCTCATGGCTAAGCCAGGCAAAGGGCAAGGGCAGACCTCTTAGATAATGGGGCAATTGGGGGATAACTGCCCTCTCGAAGGGGAGTTTGGGGCACCACTTCAGGCAAGAATGAGCAGTTGGCTTTTTTGTTTGGCTTTTTTGTTTTGTTTTGTTACCGGGTCTTGAACTCAGAACCTTCATATCTGGCTACATCCCAGTATCCCAGTCTTTTTCACCTTTGTTTTGAGACTGGGTTTGAAGTTCCCTGAGCTGGGCTTCAACTTCTAATCTTCCTGCAGGCAGATTCTCTGAGTTGTGGGATTACCAGCATGTGCCTCCACACCCAGCAAGCAATGGTCATTAATATCCTCAAATCCCAGTTCTTCTCAGCTCCCAAAATCCAAAGGAACTAAGAAGAAAGACCAGAAGTCCCTTCCCTCCCAGTGATGCCTCCCCAAATCCCAAACACACACACACATACACACACACACACACACACACACACGATCTCCGAGAGGAGGCACTGTCCTCCAGAGCCAAGACCCCACAAAAGAAAGTCACAGAAGCCTGGAGAACAACCGTTCCTCTCGGATAGGCTCCCTGCCACATCCGTCTCTGACCCGCAAGCAGAAGGCTACCTCTGCCCCGCTTGCTACCCCACCCTCCAAGAACCCTTGGGGTGAGCTGAGGGGTAGATTCAGAGGTTTAGAGGGGCTCATAGAATAGCAGCTGTCCTTTCTCCTCCAGCCTTTCAAAAGCATCCCTTACCCTCTGCTCCCCTCTGCAACTCCGGGGCCCCTCTGTCCATCTGGCAGCTTCCCTGAAACAGGCCCGGCCCGGAACGGCCCCGCCCCGCCCTCCCAGGGGCACCGCAGGCTCCCCTGGGGCCCTGCTGGTCACATCCCCGGTGCTGAGCGCTCAGGTCTGTGCCTTGTGCGTTTTCCTAGGCGCGCCCAGCTCCCTGGCTCCTCCTGCTGGCGATGCACTCCCTCCTGCGCAGGGGAGAGAGAGGCAGTGCGTCCCAACTGGGCTTCTGTGGTGCCCACCACTGATGCCGGATGCCAGGAATGGAACTCCTTCCCCTCCGTGAAATTACCTTCTGATAAGACAGTGCAGGCTTCCTAGCAACCCCCTCTAAATCCACACTCTCTGCTGGTGGGAGGCAAATCCATTGTGAAGCGAGCCTTTCTGAAGGGGCAAAGTACAGAACTGAGAAACACCTGCCTGCTTTACTGCTTTATCTTCAAAATGGAAATGGCCTATGAAAAGCACAAACTTTAAAAACTTGCTCTAAGGGAATTAACAACCAGGTAAATATGATTGAGACACTATCCCTTTTCAAGGGATAGTTGGGGTCATTGTCCAATGAAACTGGATGATCTTTGTATATTAAATCAAAGGAGACTAAAATACAGCCTCTTGGCTACTAATTAATGTTTTACAGAACTTCTTCCTTGGTTTGCAAAGGCAACTCCTTCCCCACAGTCCCAGAAAAACTGAAGGGTTGGGCCTCTACCCCTAGGGTCATAAACCCTTGCAAGGAGAGGCTGTTTCAGTGGTGTCTGATGCAAATCCGCTTTTCTTTTCAGCAAGTGTGGACCCTTGTGCACCAGAGAGAACATCATGGTGGCTTTCAAAGGCGTCTGGACTCAAGCATTCTGGAAGGCAGTCACTGCAGAATTTCTGGCCATGCTTATCTTTGTCCTGCTCAGCCTGGGGTCCACCATCAACTGGGGCGGAACAGAAAAGCCCTTGCCCGTTGACATGCTTCTCATCTCTCTGTGCTTTGGACTCAGCATTGCCACCATGGTGCAGTGCTTCGGCCACATCAGTGGAGGTCACATCAACCCAGCCGTGACCGTGGCCATGGTGTGCACCCGGAAGATCAGCATCGCCAAGTCTGTCTTCTACATCACAGCCCAGTGCCTGGGGGCCATCGTAGGAGCTGGGATTCTCTACCTGGTCACACCTCCCAGTGTGGCGGGGGGCCTGGGAGTCACCACGGTAGTCTCTGACACCCTCCTGTTCAGACCAGGACTCGCTCCAGGATGCCTGCACACTTGGCTAAAGGAGATCCCGGTGGCCTCGAGAGAGTCCTAACATTGCTGCTTAATTCCCAGGGATTTTTTTTATGTTTCTTGATGAAATAGAAACTGATTCTAGCAATATCAAAAATATTTATAGGAAATCATTGTTTTCTCATGGGAAACTTGAAAAATATCTAAGTGTATGTGGTACCAAAATAGTGTTGGTTTTTTCCTCTCTTTCCCATTCACCATAAACCACTGTTTTATAATTATTTGCTCATGAACAGAAACAGTGGTGTTTCTTTTCATATTCACCAAATTTTAAATGATCTGCATAAAGGGTCACACTCAAAAAACAAATTGATATTGGATCCTGGTTCTTTGTTGATTAGAAATATCATTACCTGAGTTCCAGAGTTGATTTACACACACACACACACCACAGTTTAAATTTTAACTTACATACACATTGATTTAAACCTAATTAATGAATTTAATCATTTCCTAATAAAATTATAACTCAAGCAAGTTTGATAAATACAGTAGTGGAGCATTTCGCTTCCTTTCTAGAAAATGAAATTCAGCATGAAGTCCTGTTTGATCATTGTAAAAGTGATTATCTGCAAAGGCCCAAAATGAGTATAAATGTATTTCCTTCTTTTGTGGAGCTGGAGGTTTCAACTAAGGGTGGTGTAGAAGATTCAAAGAAACCATTACTTATATGCAGGTAAAATATGCTTTCCATAATAAGAGCTTGTCACAGACACGTGATTCAGATGGAGTATTTTTCCCTGTACAGGTTCATGGAAATCTTACTGCTGGTCATGGTCTCCTGGTGGAGCTGATAATCACATTTCAGTTGGTGTTTACTATTTTTGCCAGCTGTGATTCCAAGAGAACCGATGTCACTGGCTCAATAGCTTTAGCAATTGGATTTTCGGTTGCAATTGGACATTTATTTGCAGTAAGTTTCCAAGTCCATTTAAATAATTGATCCATCTCATTTACCCTCACCCTAGAGCTGGCCTGAACAGGCTGCATTTTAGAGCTGTAGCTCTTTAGTGCCCAGATGTGTCCGTTCATTTTAGTTGGTCATTTTACTAACTACGTGATGTGCTTGATGCTATGGCCCCTAGCATCTTGAGGCTCCTCTAACTGATGTGACAAATGATGGCAAATGGCAATAGATGACATGTGTTGGAAGCTCTCTTTCAGCAATATCTTATGTTTTCTTCTTTTTTTTCTGTAGATTAATTACACAGGCGCCAGCATGAATCCTGCCAGATCCTTTGGACCTGCAGTTATCATGGGAAACTGGGAAAACCACTGGGTAACCACCGTGTTGATAATTCCTTTTGTCTTATAGTTGAAGACAGTTATTCATGAGGGTTTTTTTTCCATTATATTTTGTTCACTGGTTTCTGCTGCATTCCCCCAACCTTGCCTCATCTTTTATGACATCTTTCATAAAGACTAGGGAACGTCTACCTCAGATCTGCTGCAAAACTTCTCATCTTGTATCTGTTCTGGGCCTCCAAAAGTAGTTTTTGCTGTCATTGTTTTCTTAAGCACTGCTCTGGGCTCATATCTGACAGAGCACAGTGGAGTACTTGATCCGTGAAGGTTGCCTCTGCAGAACTCATGACAGTCAGGATGATGTCGTGAATGCGGTGTTTAGATAATTGAAAGAAAAGCCTTCCCAACAATAACAAAAAGTAAGGTTGGTTTTTTTTTAAAGGTAAAGAATAAAGAAAGACTTAAAAGCATAGACTGTTACAAAAATATTTTTTGTTACAAAAGCATAATCCAATTAATAGTATGTGATTTGGAAGCATTTGAACTGCAGATGGTACAGAATAAATGGTTCAAATGTTTATGTTGTCATCACCATAACTGTGCTGCAAAAATGAACGACTAAGAGAAAAGGCACACTTTTCAGGGTCGCAAATGTGGTGGCAATGCTTGCGTGCAATGGTGATATCCACTTTTACTCATCACAAATCAATCATATTTCCATTGCTTCTTACAGCAAAAAAACTAAATTCTTCCACGGAGTCATGAAGCGGTTGTGAAAGCCATTCGCACACTAACCTACAACAACCAATAAAAATTTAAGCCAGCTTCAAGCAACCCTTTTATGTTGGAAAGTTACTGTATGGCTTTTTTAAATTTATAAGTAGAGCAGGGTGTATCATCTATGTTTTGAGCTTATGCAAATGATAGGTATTGACCAAATCCCACCCACTCAATTTATGTTTCAAAAGATCTGCCACATTCACAGAAACGGAAATTTTTCATGGGCGGCCTATGTATATGGCATCAGCTTATTAAATTCAATTTCACAGCTAATAACTTGTAATGTGATTTATGAGGACTTGGAAATGTGGTCAAAGTATAAACTGAAAAACTTGTAGGAAAATTCTTGGCTTGTTGATGACAGCAAAGATTTCCCCCATTATTTTCTAAAAGTTTAATCTTCCTTGAAATAAATGCTCATTGTGTAGCAATAGTTGTACTGTACTGAAAATTAAAGCATGCTGGCAGATATAGAGACATACTAGAAATGTCATCAAAAGATTAACTGTGGTTTTTGTGTAGTATAGTGATATTATTTTAGTTTTCTTTATATTTCTATGTAATTTCTGTATTTTTAGCAATAAAAATTTCTTATTTTTATAAATTTTTGAAGTTACCTTAAAATATGCATGACATTGTTCTGGAATAGCAATTTAGCACAGAGAATGTTTATTTTTGAAAATATGCACCTATCTGTCTCCATGGGGCTACTGAAGGCTAGTAATTATTTAACAATCTCTCTTTTCCCTCCTGGGATTTAGAGCCCATGGAATAGTACCAATTTAATGAGATCTTTCCAAAAGAGCAGAAAGCATACATTTAGAGGCAGGCTCTCATTTCTCCATGGAAAGAGCATAGGAAAGATAAACCCACCTATGGCTTCATTCATGTTGAAGATAAAATGCTTGGTTCTTTCAGCCACTCTACTGACAGTTTCCTGATTAAATGTGTATTCAACTTCGGCTTAAAATTTAAGTTTTCTTTAAATTTTACAATAAGTATGTTTAGTGTGATTTGTTTCCAGAGAGTGTTTTAAGCAAGAACATTCACCACAGTTGTTATTTCCAATGAGAGAAGTATAGTGTAGTGGGAGACAGTATAACAACTCAAAAGAGAGAATTGAAGACAGATCCGAAACCCTAGCTTGACCCTTTGCTAAGCCTGCAGTCTTAAGTGAGCTTCTTACCCTCTCTCTCAGAGTGTCAGCATTCTCATCCCTAAAATACAGATAATAGTAACATCTGTCTCAAAGGTTGCTGCTAGAATCAACTGAGCTAGAAGAATAGAGCTAGCTCAGTGACCTCAATAAACAGGGTTTCTGTTGCCCAAATCAAGGTGCTGAACAAGCACCTAATACTCCACAGTATTCGTGTGCTCCAAACTAAATGTTGCGATTTAATCAAACTTAAACCTTAGTTTATTCTAGGTGCATAAATGACATGATTAAAACTTTCATTTATTGGAATGCTATGGAATTTCAATCAGTTGAAACTTTATAGATAATAACTAGCCATCATTCATAAGTTCAGTGTACTTTTGTTCACCAGATCACCACTTAGAGGAAAATCCTTTGCAACAAGAAAAATAAACAAAATATGGGTTTTTAAGTAGATTCAAACTACCAAAATTTAAAGAGAAAAAGCAAGAAAATAATACTGATAGCCATCTTAGTCACGTACATCTTTAAATTTTCTAAGGAGCATAGCATGGAGCCTGTCACCATAAATTAGGAACTATTAAGTGCTTTACAAGTATTATTTCATTTCGTCTCCACACTTGGTAAGGTAAGTTTAATTATAATCCCCACATCACAGATCAAGAAACTAAGGTACAAGAAATTGAGTGGCTAATATATTATCACGTGGTACTAATAACAAGAGCACCAAATGTCAAAGTCTACTGTGATCCCACCTATGCAGAAACCCAAAGTAAGGTGTCAATATTGAGTACATAAAAGAAGTCCTCGCCACAAGTTCTTCCTTTTCATTTGAGTTAAAGAACTCTTAATGTTGGCTTAATTTATAGTACCACCAATGAGGCACTGTCTATGTGTTAAGAATTATCAGAAAACTGAAAAAATGAAGGAAGAGAAGCAATCCTCTCCTATCTCCTATTCACATGTGCTTGAATAATTAATAGATCTCTGTGTGGATTTTTCTTGCATGACACCATCATTCTTACTTTAATCCAGCTAAATCCCCTAATCCGGAACTGCTCAGTGAACTAGCACTCACTCTGTCTGCCTCCGTCTTTCCCCCAGGTCTACTGGGTTGGACCAATAATAGGGGCTGTCCTCGCAGGTGCCCTTTATGAGTATGTCTTCTGCCCAGATGTTGAACTCAAACGTCGGTTTAAGGAAGCCTTCAGCAAAGCTGCCCAACAAACGAAAGGAAGTTACATGGAGGTGGAGGACAACAGGAGTCAGGTGGAAACCGAGGACTTGATTCTGAAACCTGGAGTGGTACACGTGATTGACATCGACCGGGGCGAGGAGAGGAAGGGGAAAGACCCGTCTGGAGAGGTATTGTCTTCCGTATGACTAGAAGATAGCACTGAAAGCAGAAGAGATTCCTTGGAACTGTCCTCAGATTTCCTCCCACCCATTAAGGAAACAGATTTGCTCTAAGTTAAACACATGCAGATTTTTCATTTCTCATTATATTACCCAATCCAAACGATAAGTATTTTATTATTTACCAAGGAGGAAAGGAAGAAACCTATTATAAATTTCAAATCTAAAAGAGAAATCTGGTTAAAGTGTCCTCAAAGCAAATATATATGTAGTTATATCTAGCTGCCTCTTGTTAATAACCATTTAAAATGTGTGTCAAGATTTGATGAAGTCATGGGCTGGGGATTTAGCTCAGTGGTTCCACCGCCTGCTTCGCAAACACAGGGTCCCATGTTCGATCACCAGTACCAAAAAGATAAAAAGATTTGATGAAGTCTTGTCTTACAGAACTTAGAGACATACCTATCAGCTTATGCCTCCTCTGTGAGAAAATTGGTGTCATTGATGATATTGTCATTTGAATATTTGTCCATTAAGTGAAGTTTAACAATAACACAATGCAGTGTGTCACAGGGTCATGCACATTGAAAAGAAGAAATACAAAAAGGTCTTTTATAACCAATCCCTTATTTATAAACTACCTCTGCAAAGGAATACGAGCAGTGGTCATCTTTCATCAATTATTTCCATTTTTATTGCAAATACTGAACTTTCAACCCCAATTCCTGTTCATTATACTCCTTCTTCCTCCTCAATATACAAGATAATGTGGATAAAAGCCCAGACAAATTAGAAACAATATTTAGAAATCCTCTATATTTCTAAGTTCCTCCTCTTAAAACTTCTGAATCATTAGGGGCACCTATTGAGATTCAGGACAAGTAGATGGGAAATCTTACAGTGGGTTGGAGAAATGTTACCATCATAGAAAAGCCACAAGAAGAAAAAAGGAAATTGGTATTCTAGCTTCAAATGGCTCTTCTGTTTTCATTGCATATTCTCAGATGCATCACACAGGGTTAACGATCTAAGCTTTTAATCACTTTACCACTATGCTTATTTTTTAAATTTATTGGCAAAACTTGGGAGTTTATGTGCTTGTAACTTTATTTATCTGTATCGAGACATTTGCTGAGACTTATTTTTGACAACAAGAATTTAGCTATGTGGATTGTGACTTACTGTTGATCATTAGGTCCCGCTCACTCTGGAAAGTACAAACTTGTGCCCAGTCCCAACCTCTGCTGCTTTCTCACCTCCTGTGACATTTGTTGATCTTCACCACAAATGTAACTATAGTTGAGCAAGTTAAAATGCGTGACAGGAGACAGGCAAGGCAGGACGTGGCTGAGGAATAAAAGGGAGAGAAGAGCACTTTTTTCAAACCTTTCATTTGTAGAGATACTGTATACCCAATATATCTCTATAGTCCACTCGATTTTAAAGTATTTTGTAAGGTAATTTGTTTTCTCTGCCCTGCTTTGGTCAGTAGACTGTTCTCTGAAAACCCCATTTCTATCCACCTAACTGTGGAGTCTAGACTATATCTTAGACAAAGAGCTGTAAATGTCGACTTTGCTGGACAAAAGCTAGTAGCCAGGAAAACATGACGCCCCACCACTGCGAGGAGTAGCATGTAAATAGCTGATAATCACAGGCTTTCTTCTCCCCCAGCACCGTTCCAAATGTGTGTCACTTTTTAGTGGTAATGGCAGTTGTGTGTCTTTGGCAGCAAGATAATGGACCACTATTAAACCTGATTCTTTCAGGGGCTAGAAAAAGAGTGATGTGCGAGGATCTCGGAGCGATCACACCAGTGTCGCACCTCCGAGTGTCACTGATGTGTTCACATTTTTTACGGCAGGTGCCTAAAGCCTAAAGCCAGGCCCCTACCTCAGAGGCCCAACTGTAGCACCACTGCGGAAGTGATGTGGGTCACTTTCTGATTTGTGGCACCTGTAGAAATGAGGGGACAACTGTGCAAGAGTGCTTTGCGCCCCCCTTTATTTCAAAGATTTGCACATACACCACTAAAAGCTTGAGATCCAGGGATGGTTCCGTTGAAAAGTAGCATCGACCATCAGCAAACGTGTCAGTTCAAAACTAAATTTAGTTAAAAAGCAAGAGTTCAACACATTTCTGAATATGCTTATAAAGTATAGGCTTATAATCATTTTTTCCTGTGGATTATTCCACATACCCTCACTTTTACACTCATTTCCAATTATAGCATTCAATAAATTAGAGGGTTTTTTTAAGTGAATGGTATTTCTATGATTTGTTTTTCTCAGCACCTAGCAGTGTGTTGGGCACACAGTAGGCATTCCAAGCAAGTTTGTTAGTAAAAATATAGATGTCTCATTTGGGATTTTTGAAAATACAAGTAATTTTCTAATTCTTAGTTTTTTCAATATTTAATAAAAAGTGTGTTTTGAGTATTACTAAAGGGAGGCATTATACATGTGAAAACCATAAAATATGCTTTTGCATTGGACTGTGTTTAGGGGCATGAAGTGAATAGAAGCTTCAGCACTCTTTTTCCCCCGCATATGAGACAACATATTTTGTATTTCACTCAAGGCTCTGCCAGTAAAAAGTAATGAAATTGTACCTTTCTAATGACATCTGTGCAGCAGGGGTCTACTGCCTTGTGGATGACACCAAATTATCCAAGTGTATTAGGAGACTGGGGCTTTTTTCTTTAATCCCTTCTTATTAATAAAGTGCGTAGTGCTGCTCCCAGGAGACAGTGGCTGACAGATACACAGAGAAGAGATCAGAGAGGAAAAACCGGGAAGACATAAATGAATTATACCCAGCTGTGGAACAATGCCAACAGGCTCTTCCCACAGGGAGAGTACACAAATACCCCAAGTTATTTGCGGCCCCGGCTCTGAAAATGTGCTTAGTTTGTCAAAATGATACAGGAGGGAAAGAGCCACTTTTTAAGTTTTTGGAGTTTCATTTAAAAAAAAATCTTAGGACCCAGATCCTGAATGTATGTTTCCATTGTTGAAAATAGCATATTCTTTTTACACTGGAAGAAAGTATTTTCTGGAACCTAGCTGGTTGGCCAAACTCAGGTGCCAGCACTCAGGGTTTGCCATTTGACACTGTTCTAAGTTCCTATGTTTTCCATCATCTAAGCCTTTTCTTACCGAGCTACTGCTCGGTGTTGGCTGGTATCTGAGGAGATCAGAAATGTTTGGAAAATACATATGGCGGAAGAGAGGTATGTGATAGATTAGAGGCCTGGCTCCAAACAGAATATTCTACGAGGCCATAATCCAGGCCACTCTTGTCTAAACTCCATAATGACAGGGAAATTCCAAACTGGAGGAGTAAATTCAGATGCTAAATTTCACTCTGACCAGGCTATTTGTTCCAGCACAGTGACTCTATCCCCACACTTATGAGCATGTGACAGAGAAACTGCCTTTGTGACAACTGAAGATGGCAGTCTGAACTGAATAGACAAACTTATCAAAAAATGTGTAAAAGCCAATATAAATCCTGACCATCAGCCTCATACAAGGCACTCAGAACACTTTATACCTGAAAGTATGTGCCCTCCCTATGGTGGTTCAAGCATGAGAATCATTAAAAAATCAAGGTTACTACCCAGACACTATAATGAACAAAAATCACTGCCTTGACCTCAGATTTTGTGAGTTCACACTTGTGTTTTAATGCTTTACAGATCGCCCCAAAACAACACTAACTTTTGAAACCTATGATTCTGTGAAATAAATGGAAGACACTTAATGCAAAGATCAAAAACTGTGGCCACTCACTTTTACAAATGACTCTCAGTGGCCTACGAAATACATATCAAATAAATTCTACACAGCACAAGAAGTGAACACTGAACTGAAGAGTACTTAGTGTTGTTACTCATTAGTGTTGAAAATCAAAGGGCGAAAAAGCACACCTACTTGTATAGCCCATTAGAATATATTTCCAGCTTCTCATCAGAATTAATTAAATAAACATGCAATTTGTGAAAATACATACACAATTGTTTATCATTTTTATGATCCAAATCATAATGAAATTGTAGTTCATGATAAACCAGGGAGAATAAGCTGAACATATGCTTATATTCACAATTATTTATTAACTGAAATGTTATTCCAACATTAGAGTTAATGTTAAAGAGATCTAAACTATAATGTCTAATATTTGGAATAATCTATTAAAGTATTAGCACTGTGGTTTATTTCCATGAATTGTGTTTCATCTCACACAACTAAGCTTGTGCAAATAAACTTCTGAATGTTTTAAAGGTAAACATTGTGTTTGATTATATTCCAAAAATTCATTTTCAGTTTTTGCAAATTGGACCCTATGAGCTTCCTTTAGAATGAATAAGAGGTTTTGGTATTTTAATATAATCAACACCAAGTGAAATGCTGATGGAATCTATGAAACCAAAATTATTTTGAAAGCCTGCAAAGTACACACTGTGGTAGGCTTATATAGACAGTGAAAATTATGTGTTCCCAGGCTTGTTTCAGAATGTCCACATCCGTGCAAAATGGGCTGCGGGATATGAGCTGTCATTAGTGTGAGTCTCAAAGTGAAGACTCAAACAAATGTGACTGGCATTGCTGAATAGATGGGCCAACCTCGGGGCATTTGGCAGATCCTGCCTACCCAGATGGATAACGTAGGCTCAGTGAGTACCAGCTTACCCCCTGGATTCTTGTTGGAGGGCCTTCTCAATTCTCAATGCTATGTACTCTCAGTGGAAGTCTGAGGACAATCACATATGCAGTATGAGACTCACCCCGTAGGCATGAATGTGCCTCAGGAGCCAGGTGAATACACACCTCTCACAGCATTTCATTTTAGTGAAATTGTTTGTGTGGCTATCAGCATCTTCCACTAGATTCTAAACTCTTTAGACTAAAACCCACCACATTTCCTAGGCACTGAAAAGAGGCTTGACATTCTACTTAATAAGTGTTTTCTGTAGGGACAGAAAAGTTAATTAGTGTCTTACGATCATTAAGAAATGCTACAAAACATTATTCTCCAATCTAGTTGCTTTTGGCTGCAGAATTGTCTGCTAAATGTTTGAATTCTTATAGTTCCAGGTAAAAGCCTCAAGTTCTTTAGCTCAAACACTAAAGAAAAAGGCAAGTGCACACAAAGAATGCAACATTCATGGGATTTCTAAAATTTCTGCCTAAAGTATAAGCAACAAGACGTGTTTTCAATACTGTATTTATACAATGGCCAGATGTTACATGTAACTTGGCTCAATGAGTATTTCAGCAAGAAAAGTATTTTAACAAGCATGAAAAGCTAAAGATATAAATATCAGCCTGCCTTTAGATAATTATCCCACTGGAAAATGTTCAAAACATGTCACCTGAATTAATTTTTACTATTTTTTTCAATTTTCCATTAATTCATTACTTGGGTTTAAGGAAACACCAAGACCTTTAAAAAGCTGAGTTGAATTCTTCTACCCCCATATGTTCAAAACTCCCTCTAAGTAACATTGATGTTTATAATCTTGTTGTACAACCCGGTGATCGCACAAAGCGAGTACCCAATAACTGTAAAAGGAGTCAGTAGATAAATGGTGTATGGACGAATGATAAAAAGAAACACTCCAATCTTCAGGTATTAGGATCATCTGTAAACAAAGGGAAGCCAGAGCCTGGATTCCTTCTTCCCTTTCAAGGATCATTTTCCACAGAGATACAGATTTATGAGAACATTAGCCACGGATAAGAAGGGAAGAAGAAAATGGAATAATTATCAATTATGAGGGCAAGTATATGGGGCTCTAGAATTTAATCTTCAAGGCTTATTATGAGGCAAGCATTACTACTGTCCACAACTCCAAAGGTGAGGAACACAAGTATCAAGAGGAATAACTAAAAGCTGGACATTTTGTTCAGTGGTAACATTCTTGCCCATCTGTCCAAGACTCTGGATATGATCCACAGTAACACCAAAAATATTACAAGATGTCACATATGGTAGTGCAGCATAATCTGGAAGCCATGTTCCAATTAATTTCAATCCCTCACATAATTTCCCATCATCTGGATTTCCCTTCAATGGTATGTGGATCTCCAGACTAGGAGGACTCAGGGTACCACACCACCACGTGGCTATAAGTTAAGTGCTACAGAACTGGAGTAAATTTTACAGACCTTAGCTAAGGTCTCAAAAAGAGAGAAGAATCTTGACTGCTCCAGTGGATTTACTGGGTACTTCAGATAATTTGGGAATTTTTAAATTTAATTTTTCTTATGAAAATATTACCAAAAGTACTGTGAATTTTGCACTTGATGCACAAAATACTAAAGTTGAGGACTAACAGGAAAGTTACCATGATAGTCTTCTATATCCAATAGTAGTAACAACATTGCTTTCATTGTTGAGCATGTTCTCTACACTGGTTATACGCTCGGAAGTTTGCTCTTTTCTCCCCAAAACCTTATGAAGTAGGTACTGTCGTTAACCCTGTTTACGGGAGAGGAAACCAAAGTCTAAGGAAAGCAAGTACCTTTTTGAAAGTCACAGTGCAGGGCCTGGGATTTAGCTCAGTGGCACCACACCTGCCTGGTCCTGCGTTCAATTCCCAGTACAAAAAAAAAAAATCTAAAGCCTTAAAAGTCACCATGCTGCTGTGGACAGAGGTGGGATTTGTGCCCTGGTAGTCTGTCCACAACTCTCTGTTCTTAGCCCTTGCCCTATACAGCCTCTTGCCTATGGTGCTATCGGTTTCCACTAGTTCCAACTTTCACGATCTGCATTTTTCAAGCCTTTAATTTTTCATATCCAGCTGAAATTGCAATGTACTGGAATCCCTCTGTTGCTCCCGACCCAATCTCTTATTATTTTGACCACCTCTGAAGGAGGATTTAAACATTCAAGGACAAATGTCACAAAGATAAATCAGCTAAGCTTCCAACGTGTTTCTAAAAGGGACTTTAAACGGCCAAGAAAATTTTTTTCAGCGAGCAGGAAGACAGAAACCTATACCTTCCATTGTTCCAATCAAAACTAACTCTTTATCTAGTTTGACAATTTCTTTTTACCCTTCATTGAGACTTAAGCCTTCATCCCAATTTTGATTGTCAGGGTATATTTTAATCCTTATTTACCTATTAGTCACCCAATCCACATATACTTGAGTCCCTATTCTGTTCAAGGATCAATAAAAAATTTTAATAATTTAATATCTTTATCATATATATTCTCAATAAAGTATTAATAAGGGAGTCAGTAAGTGGGACTTAGCAATAATCTAAGCTACCATAAGATCACCTACCCTACACCAACCTATAGAGTTAAAAGGTTGCTTTTTAAAAAATGAAAAATAAAGGTATTTTTTAATAGACTAATTGCATTATTGTCACACTGACAACAGTTTTGAGAAATAATTGGATATAATGACCATTGCTAATATTTTTCCCTCAGGGAAAGATTTGTGTGTAGAAAATAAGATTTAAAAGGGCCAGGCATTTAGCTCAGTGGTGCTGCACCTGCCTCACAAGTGCATGGTCCTGCGTTCGATCCCTGGTATGGATAATAACATTTAATATACCTATTTCCACCTTGTTTCCAAAATACAAAACTGCAACATTCTGACTCCAGACTAGCAGAAGACAAAAAGTATATAAGTTAAAAAAAAAAGTAAATATTTTTAAGTACATTATCAAGGAATGCAGATACTTATTTGTTTAAATTTGAGGCTTTCAGAGGAGGAACAAAAGAAAAAAGGAATAAAGAGGAAGGGAGACACTAAAAGGGTCCCCCAGCTCTCCTGCCTGCCTCTTGATGCCACAATCACTGAAACAGCAGCTGTCCGTGCACAGTTTAGAAAAGTCCCTGTGCCAAGTCCGAATGCTCTTGTCCTCCTGTATTGTAATTAGAGGGCCCCGGAGAGAATTGGACTATGCGTGGTCTTTGACAAACCTAAGCCCTTATCTCAATTGAGCTGTCAAAATGTCAGGCTAAAGGGAAATAGATCCTTCCTGCAGAGTGAAAAGACTCCCTGCATCTTGATTTTCAGCAATGGTCGCAGAATAAAAGCAAGATCTCCTATTTCTCTCAAGAATGCTAGTCTCTAAAATTTCTCCTTAAAAAGGTGTGAGCCCAAATCTCAGCTCATGGCTCCTGGAAACGCTTCACCGTTTTAAGCTGCTCCAAGAACTCAGTGTCAGAACTCGTCACAAAGGACTTGAGCTTTATCTCATTGTTCCAAGAGCTGATGTTATGGAAACAGTTGGACTGAAGAACAGAGGAGAGCAGCCGAGATTTCTCCAGAGACCTGCAGCAAGGAAGAGTTGAGGAAAACCAATGTAGATTACTCAGCCCTGTGGTGTTGGTACATTGTGGCTAAATCATTCATATTCTTTGAACTCTAATAAAAAATTCTCATCAAACAATGATGACATTTTCATCTCATCAAAGTTTAATCACAAGAGTATTGTAATTCTGATTTTCTTCACCTCAGTTCAAGTTGAAAGTAATTGTCAGACATCATTTCGATTCTAACCGTTCCATCCATTCTCACATGATCATGGCCCTTTTTGTTCTCTAAGAGGCATGTCATTTTTGTCTATTATTCAAGCAGTTTTAAAATAACTTTGTCACCTACTTACCAATAGTATACTTAAGGCTCATTTTAAAACACATTTGAGATAACGATGCAAGTGGAAAAATTCTTCTTGAGACACAAAAGAGGAGTGATCATAAGTTATGGCTAGTGAATTATTTGATGTTGGGAGTTCACTTTATTGCCTAAATTCTTGATTGTCTCAAAAAATTTAGCAACCCTCAGCATAACTGGTTTAAAATGCGTTAAAGGTCCAGGGATT